AATAGAGCAGACACTGTCTGACCGTGTCTACACCGGACGCGACAGTTGTCGTGCCGTGCCCTGCTGCGCTAAAAGTCTGTCTACACTTGACGCGACAAAGCAACAGTTGCAAATCATTTGAACGTAGTGTCGGTACAGTTCGTCATAAATAGAACGAGGCATCAGTTTACTGATGGGGATCATGTCGCATCGCACGGTGCCGCGCCGCATCCAGTGTAGACAACATCACTGGGTTCTATTGTCTTTTGTCGGATTGCGCCACTCGCGTCCGGTGTAGACATGGTGTGAGTTTTTTAAATGGTTTATGTTATAGCCCTGCTTGTTTTTTAATGTTTTTATGAAATATCTGTATTGACTGCATGATCATATCATCGTATTATTTACTGCCATGCGAGCCACAAAGTAAAGCTTGGCGAGCCGCATGAGGCTCGCGAGCCGCGCAATGAGTAACACTGGTCATCGCAAACTGCTTTTAGAAACACGTCATTAAAATTAAATGAAACTCAGCGAATACATAACACACAGACATGAGAAATATATCTATAGAAAGCTTGAAGTGTCTACTTTTAAATGAAGTAAGTCAGGTTGAAAACAAATATTCTGTGATAAAGTAATCCGTATGAAACCAACGCAATGTCCAGTTTCTCCATCTGATCTAATTATTTTTAATGTGACCACGGCCACGAGCTACTTTTGTTTTTGTTATAACAATCGTCCACGTGAGACGTGCGGCATGTAAACACCCACATCAGCTCCGTGCACAAAGCGTGAGGATTCACTAGTTCATCTCGGCTACTGTTCGTTTCTGGAAAAAGATTGCTCTGAGAGGAATAACCCAAGATATATCTCAGAAAAGGAACAAGATAAAGTCATCCGTAAAGTAATCCACGCAACCTGACCCAGCCGAGGAGAACATTCTAATAAGTAATGTTTATTTTTTGCATTAGTTTATGTGTTATTGTGGAATAAACTTGAACACATTTAATAGTTGGGTTTTTCCCAAACTATAATTCCTGATTACATTTTTTGAAATAGAGTGAGACATTTTGAATACTTCACTTATACACTTCATTGTATCTAAATTTCTTATGACACGATGATGTTTTCATGCTCTATATAATATAAAACAATACGATATAAAAGTAATATTAGTGCATGATGAATGCTACGAGTCTAAGAATGTTTAGACCATGTTTATTATTAATACTCTGTTCTCAAATATATTTTATTAATATCTTTCTATAGATGTGTAACCTGCTAAACAATAATAATTTGCTTCTCTGATATAAAATGTCCTTTTTACGGTAATAAGCATGCGTGGGTCTATGACTACAAAATCATACTATATATATATATATATATATATATATATACATACTGATATTAACATGCTCACATGTTTTTTTTGTTGTTGTTTGTTTTTTAGTGATCAGATACCTGCACCACAGATGAATCCTGCTGACTTTCACTTGAGTCTCTTCAAACTGTTTTCCTCTAAGCTGTACCAACATCAGATGTTCAACTACACTGATATTCTATGGTAAAACAAGCTCCTTGACTACTGATGATGGTAATTTTTTCTTGAATCAATGGAAAGAAGCAGCAAACACTTAAATATCAGGTATGGTATACTTGTTTCACTTGTTGAACAGAATCTGTTTTCAGGAATGAAGTCTGTTCACATCTCTGTTGTTAGATCAGTGTGCTCAATAAGGTGTCTTTGACCTTCATTAAGTATGTTTTAATTATACTGTGTTGTGAATAAAATACAAATAATTAAAAAAAACTAACATTTTTTTCAATCTCCTCACATTCTCTCTTACCTGCCCTTAAAGTAACAGTCACACTGGCTACGTTTACATGCACAATTTTTTGGTTCAATCGGACTGAATTCATTCTGATTGTTGAATCTGAATGTAGTGTTTACATGAACGCTAAATAAAGTGATCGGGTTGATGTGCGTGTTTATATGTCACAAGCTTCAAATCGGAATTGATTTTTTTTTTTTTACATTCGCACACTGCACAAATATAGGGTGTCTCAATGTTTGCACATAATAACCACTCTCCTACACGGTTTATTCATTTGTTTTTAACAGCAGAATTAATATTTATTAATTTATGGATAAACCGTGCCCAAAACGGGTTGCCTGTGGATGAGAATCCAAAACAAGGACTGGTTTGAGGTTGTCCTGCTCCACTTCACAGTTGCCGAGTGAAAGGAGAGTTTAATAATGATAGGACACGCATTTATACAACACTTTATTCAATAGGAAGAACCGCTCGTTCTGCACGTCATACGTCATTACGCTATTTCTGCGTCATTGCACATGCGCAGTTCTTTCAGTTTCGGGGTTCAATTCGATCGAGTGTTTACATGCACTCTCAATCGTATTAGAAAAGGAATAAACCACCCCCTTCAATCTGATCGAAATTTCATTCCGATCGAGCTCAGTCGGATCGATTAAGGTGTTTACATGAAGGCTTTTCAGTCCGATTGAGCCGTCAATCTGATTACAAATGGATTATTTGGTTGCATGTAAACATAGCCAGTGATGGGCCATTAGGGGAGGGGCCCTTTGTCTCTCAGGAGTGAATCACTAAATATTCATGACCATTGTCACTCCCTCGCATACAGGCTTTCGATCACAAAACATGTCTTTAAAAATGTAAATCAATATATTGTTTTCTGTGAAGGAGTAAGCAGGATGATTTTCATATAATTTTGAAGTAAATATTGTGTCTTCAACCTTCATTATGTATGTTTTAATTATACTGTGTTGTGAATAAAATACAAATAATAAAAAATAAAAAAACATTTTCAATCTCCTCACATTCTCTGTTACCTGCCTCACAGTCACATGACTCACTGAGGGGCCTTTAGGGGACGGCGCTTTGTCTCTCAGGTGTGAATCACTGCCTCGCATAAAGCTTGTCTATCACAAAAAATTTAAATCAATATATTGTTTTCTGTGAATGAGTAAGCAGAATGATTTTCTCATAATTTTGATGTAAATATTCTAGCCTACAAGACTGATTACTCAAAAGTCTTATTCAGAGCTATTCAGTATGGGTTTTATGGCTTTATTTCAGCTACATTTTTTTTCCCAAAACTTACTAACCACGCATAATATATATATTTTTTTCTAAAAAATGCAAACATGTACATCCATCTTGCTCACATATTATTGTAGCACAGTTTGTGCTGAATACAAAAAAAATAATTACATGTTGGCCAATAGTATGTTATACAGGTGCATCTCAATAAATTAGAAAGGAGCCCCTACCAAGTATTGAGTACATGTACAGTAAATGAACATACTTTCCAGAAGGCCAACAATTCACTAAAAATGTTTTTTTATTGGTCTTATGAAGTATTCTAATTTGTTGAGATAGTGAATTGGTGGGTTTTTGTTAAATGTGAGCCAAAATCATCACAATTAAAAGAACCAAAGACTTAAACTACTTCAGTCTGTGTGCATTGAATTTATTTAATACACGAGTTTCACAATTTGAGTTGAATTACTGAAATAAATGAACTTTTCCACGACATTCTAATTTATTGAGATGCACCTGTAAGTAGCTGAAATAAGCACAAATATCAGGGCATGTCAAAACATCTCAAGGGCCCCAAAATCACCTCAGACCCCAGAGGGTTAATTTCCAGCGATATCGTCGACTTGATTGCACAGATATTTGAACTGAACTGAGCTGGATGATGACATCACTGAATTCAATGATGAACTGCCTTTAACAGAAAATTTAGTGTTTACTATTGTCCTTTTGCATTATTGACACATTTTTTTCTATGTAATACTGTAAAGCTGCTTTGACACAATCTGTATTGTTAAAAGCGCTATATAAATAAAGGTGACTTGACTTGACTTGACAACGTTGTTTTGTTGTGTTGAGTCAATCGTCAATGGAAGACCAATCACTAAGCTCTCAAGACGATCCATCGGACCCTCTACCACTTACACCAAATAATTTGTTGTTACTCCATTCCGGACAATCACTACCTCCAGGAGCCTTCGTAAAGCAAGAATTTTACCAACTTATATGGCATCAGGTCCAATATCTGGCGGATGACTTCTGGTCATGATGGCTCAAAGAGTATCTACCTGCTTGTCAACAATGACAGAAATGGTTGCATTTAAAACATAATCTTCAAGTAGGAGATCTTGTGCTTGTTATGAATGAGAGTACACAATGAAATCACTGGCCGTTATGGCTGATTACTCAAGTTTATCCAGGACCAGATGGACTTGTGTGTACTGTGGAAGTGAAAATGCAAGCAGGAATATTCAATCATCCTGTAAATAAAATCTGCCTCCTGGAAGCTAATCTGTTTAACAAAGACAGTTAAATGGCTTTCTTAAAGGACATAACCCCCTTTTTGGTTTGAATGACCTGTTATAGGGTCATTGGGGCCTGGGATGTTGGGTTCTGTCCCTTTAAGAATACAATGCTTCAGAGTGTATATGATTTGGAGTCATTACAGTTTTTCTGAATTGCTAAAACACATTTCTCGAAACCATCACTCATTTTCTCAAATCCAAATCTTCAAACTAAATTCACAGAATCTCTGACTCTTCTGGCAAAATCAAACAATTACTTCAAAACCATTTCACCTGTACTCAAAATCCAACAAAAGCTTTCAAATCTTACACACATTAGTCAATATTATATGCACTGCAGATCATGCATTAGACACTACATCAAAAAAAAAAAAAATAAGAAAGTAGAACACCGTGTTCTATGCAGGTAGTTACAAACAACAACAAAAATACTGTATATAGTAAACATTTTGCAATTAAACACGCACGCACACACACACAGACCCAAAAGAAAACACACCTAAGTTTGGTGAATATACCAAAAAAAACATGTTACTTTGAGAAAAAAAAAATAATAATAATAAGATAATACCTAGAATATCAAAATCAACTGCGGGCGGCAGATCCTTTTCCTATTTAGCGCCCACACTCTGGAATAATCTTCCTAACATTGTTCGGGAGGCAGACACACTCTGTCAGTTTAAATCTAGATTAAAAACCCATCTCTTTAACCTGGTTTACACATAACACACTAAGAGACTTCTATAATTCAAATCTGTTGAAGGATTGTTAGGCTGCATTAATTAGGTCAACCGGAAACGGGAACACTTCCCATAACACCCAATGTACTTGTTACGTCGTTAGAAGAATGGCATCTACTCTAATATTAGTCTGTTTCTTTCTTATTCCGAGGTCACCGTAGCCACCAGATTCAGACTGTATGCAGATCAGATAATCACTGCAGCCACCCAGATCCAGTTCGTATCCAGACCAGATGTGATGCAAAACCCTAAACATAAGAAAGCAAAAGTTAATCACAACTGCAACACAACTGTCATTGTTTACACACAATAATTCAAAACTATTCGCTCCTGTTTCTAAATATGTGAATGTACAAAATATAAGCCAGTACAAAATGCACAGATGGCACGGGTGCATCCATCAATCTGAGAGGTAAAGGAAGAGGAGGACGATGAAGAGCAATACCAAGAATATTTATTTCAGATGAAATTAGAGCTACTGTAATAGACCATGTTCTTGTGCATGGAATGACAGAGGCCAGACAAAGAGCTCAGCCTAATTTGAGGAGATTTTCTGTGGCCACCATAATCAGTTGGAAAGTTAAGAAGAACAGCAAAAGAAGAGTGGAAGAGAATCTTCTGTAGAATTGCAAGACTACCATGTTAGGGTGGAAGAACTGGCCTGTGGTGACATAGACGTATGCCACATCAGAGGTTTTTTTCCGATTGCCTGCCTCTCAATAATTTGAAAATAATTTGCTCATGCCTTAAAATAGCTTGAATGTAATTGCCTCATTTACTATATGCGGATCTATGAATATGCAAATTAGCCCCAACTCCAGTCAGTCACATCAGCCAGGGCCTCTTGATCCACTAACTGAACTGTAGTAAACGCGATACAATGGCAAGTGGAAATATTGTTTACAAATGGATGTATTAGAATGGTAATATATTAGACACCTAATGTAATTGATATAATTAGCCCTTGGCTTCACTATGTTATCAAACAGCTAATAGTTACTTACTTGACGATGTTGTGTCTTTAAAAATGCATTGAATACTCGAATGCAGCCAAGTTTGTGATTCCAATTCGCTCCTGCGAGCATATGCGTGTGAAGTGCGGATGCCAATGCGGAAGAGGTGGGTCAGACTCCAGGCTAATTTTACACTGTAGCCACGGGTTATTATTCAAGTTAGCGGTTCTAAATTCTTGTTAAACCACGGCTTCGTGGCTGCCTTCTCACTAGACCCCATGCTATGCAGAAAAATTTGTGATATGCTAAAGATAGGAATCTGGAATCTATCCCTTGACGTGACTGGTTATATTGAATTTTGTGACGTAGCAAAAAAAAAGGCTGTTTCAAACTACGTTTCTGGGATTGCCTTTGTGAAACTACAGTTTTAAGGAAAAATACTCAGAAATGGTGTTCATTAATGGATTGGCACACGGTTTGTCTAAAAGCATATTAACTCTTTTCCCGCCAAACAGCATTTTCCGTTATTCGTGAGACAATGCTTCCCTGCCAAACACGGAATTTTCCGGGTTTACGCTTTCTCACTGTTGTACGCTAGGGGCGCTATTACGCAGCTCCTGAATGAGTCCAGAATGTCCCGATCAAAAACACAGACGAGGAAGATGCAGAAACGAGCGATCTCATATGTATGCATATGCATATGAAAAATAATGTGATCATCAACACTAACCGCATATAAATGAAAACTCTCTAATGTTACAGAGTGAAATGTCAATCCAGAAAGTGGTAAAGGCCTGAGCAAGCTTAGAGAGTACTGATGGAAGCCATCTAATGCATCTTTGCTTTGATAATATTACCGAATATGATCCAGATGTAGTATTTGATAAAAATTTAATTTTCTTTTTTTTTATGAAACCTACCTACATTCAAGTGTTGATAAAAAAGCAATGCTTGAAGCCAGAATAAAACTTTTTTTTTTTAAGTAGTGGGTCTGCTCTTTATTTTGATGTATTGCATGTTCAGATATTCATACAACAAAATATTCTGGGGGCCATGAAATTTTAGTGAAAATCAGCAAAAACGCTGGTGGTGGTTGGCAACTTTAAAAAAAAAAATGCTGACGGGGAAAGAGTTAAAAACACCACATAGACAAATAAACAACATAAAAAACAACAACTTTATTTTCACTACAGGGGGACTTTACAAATGTAAAAGTTCATCCACTCTTTCCTAACGTTGGGATCAGAAGGAAGGCAATGCAAAGATTTTTTTTTTTCCACAACTTGGCTCTGCACAGCATGTTGTTGTCTTTGGAGCATCTTTATCATTTGGTTTCTGCGTAGACCTGCATGTTCGCCTCTCTCGTAAACACTACATGCACAAATTGGTGGATGGTGCTAAACAGGCAGCGATGTAGAATCAGGCATTGGTCTTCTTCTGCGTAGGAGGAGTATGTACCCACACTATTACATCATAGAGTTGTACATTCCACAAGCTGTAGTTTTGGCAGACTGACTTCATAATAAGCTGTTTTTAGACTACATTTTTTTTCAATTGCTTAAACACTAAAATTAAAACTTTCCCACAATTAGCGAAACCTTACACTCAAGGAGCAAAAGTGCCTGCGTCTCTCACATACTCTATTGTTGAGCACTTTTCTAAACTGGCAGGTGCTGTGGTCATGAGTGGAGTCTAAGTCACTTGAAGCTGTGCATTACACTGATTTTACCATGGGAAAGTGGGGTTTTTACAGTTTTTTTCAATTGCTTGCACACTAGAATGAAAACTTTCCCACAATTAGCAAAACCTTACACTCAAGGAGCAAACCTAGATTTGCACAACTGTAAGCACATTGTCAGCTTCACACTTTTTGCAAAACATTACACACAGTGATTTGCAAAACACTAAACACACTTGTATGCATTTGACAGAAATTTATCATGATGTCATTTTCTTGCAGTTTCAATCGTTCATATTTATAAAAACGGTCTTTGACGTGGAAAAGTACTTACTGCCACGTCAGGTTCTGAGCAGGCGTACAAACTTTTCCTTGAGGCAAAGTCGGAGTAGTGCAACTATTTGAACATCTAAGCTGCAATAATAATAAAAGCGGTGTACGTGCAAGCACAGAATTCATCATAAACAACGAAGATGCAGTGTGAGAGATTAACTGTGCAGTGTAGTCAGATTTTTTATTAACGGGAGTTTTTGCGAGATTAAACTGACCTTTTTAGTAGCCTAATGCTGAGACTTCTTTATAGCCTATACTCGCTTTCTGTACACAGTTTATTCCATGTTGTTTTTTATTATTTTATTTTACAAGAGAACCTGCGAAGTCTTGATTTACTACTAATGTGTAGTTTGTCTACGCAAATTTGCAAAGGATGAGAGGGGGAATCCGGAGAGAACAAGGTGGAGGAAGAGGCCAAGGCAGAGGAAGAGGAAGAGGGAGAGGGAGAGGAAGACCTGGAGGAGGGGTAGGACATGCACAAAGAAGAAGACAACCAAATCTGTGTGCTACAATTCTGGACCATGTAATAAACCACGGACTAACACTGAGGGAGGCTGGACTGAGAGTACAGCCTAACCTAAGCAGGTACACGGTGGTATCAATAGTTCGGACATTTCGTCAAGAGCACAGGTGAGAAAATTATCTTCTGTCAACAGAAAATCCATAGCTTACTGCATGTACTATATCAACAGTTTTGGTAATCTATTCGTGTATCATTTTACAGTAAGCTACATGTATTTTGTTTGGCCAACATAGGATTGAACGTCGAGAACACCAAGGAGGGAGGGGCCCCATATTCACACAGGAGCAAGAGAGAGAGATCATAAACCTCGTTTTGGCCAATAATGCAATCAGACTTAGAGAAATTCAAGCCCATATTGTCAATGATCACCCAATTTTCAATAATTTCCAACAGGCCTGTCTGTCAACAATAGCCCCGTATCCTTAAAAAACATCAAGTTCTGATGAAACAACTGTATAAAGTGCCATTTGAAAGAAATTCAGACAGGGTGAAAGTCCTGCGGCGTGAATATGTGGTGGTACATTTTGTTCACTGACTGTAGTATTGTGTACTGCACACATAACCTTTTTACTGTACATGTAATTTCAATGTATAGCGGACCTACAGTATATTGATCTACACAATGTGATATTTTGCTGTATTTCAGAGAGTTTTGCAAATGGATGCGGAGGCAGTACCGCATGAGTTTATATACATTGATGAGGCTGGATTTAACCTGAAAAAAGTGAGAAGAAGGGGAAGAAACATCATTGACCACAGGGCTATTGTCAATGTACCAGGGCAACGTGGGGGTAACATTACCCTTTGTGCTGCCATTACACAGAATGGGGTCCTCCACCGCCATGCCAACTTGGGTCCTTACAACACTGACCTCATTCTTACATTTTTAGACAGATTACACAATATTATCACAGCAGCAAACCAAAGGGATCAGATGCAATACATTGTTGTCTGGGACAATGTAGCTTTCCATCGTTCTGCTCTGGTCCAAAACTGGTTTCATCAACACCCACAATTTACAGTTCAATACCTTCCACCATACTCCCCCTTCCTAAACCCCATCGAGGAGTTCTTCTCAGCATGGCGGTGGAAGGTTTATGATCTCCGGCCCTATGTCCAGATGGCCCTCATTCAAGCTATGGAGGAAGCATGTGATCAAATTGAAGCAGCATCCATACAAGGGTGGATTCGTCACTCCAAAAGATTCTTCCCACATCCACCTCACAGGTGTGGCATATCAAGATGCTGATTAGACAGCATGATTATTGTACAGGTGTGCCTTAGGCTGGACACAATAAAAGGCCATTCTAAAATGAGCAGTTTTACTGTATTCGGGGGTCCGGGGGGTTCTGAAAACCAGTCAGTATCTGGTGTGACCACCATTTGCCTCACGCAGTGCAACACATCTCAACTTCGCATAGAGCTGATGCGCTGAGTTTTTTTTGGCTAGCTTGCAGTACGCTTACCCTTCTGATTTTACAATCACGCTGTAGGTCGAGCCCCCTCTCGTTGAGAGCTGGGTTTGTGCTCCCTCAGCTAAGGTAAATTACTGCTAGCCGTTCCAGCATTGGAACATGCTGTAGGTCGAGCCCCCTTCTCGACTGAAAACTGTGTTGTGTTGCTTCCACAGCTAAGTAAATTATTGCTAGCTGTTCCAGCTTTGGAACATGCTGCAGGTCGAGCCTCCTCTCGTTTGAGAACTGGGGGTGTTGTTCCCTCAGCTAAATAACTGCTAGCTGTTCCTCCATTGGAACATGCTGTAGGTCGAGCTCCCTCTCGATTGAGAGCTGGATGTTTGCCCCCTCAGCTACAGATTTACTGCTAGCCACTCCAGCATTATAAGCCTTAGATTGAGTTGATTACTTCTCAAACATAGCATTTTGGAATGCACCATTTCCATCTATGCGCTGCTGTTTCAGAGTGCCACGAGAACCCCTTAGAACGGTATTTTTAAAATCCATGTTATGGTAAGTGTGCACGTGAAGTCTTTGTACACTTTCTAAAATCCACACTGTGGTAAGTTCGCACGCTAGTACTCTGCGTTCTTTTCTAAAATCCTGTATGGTAAGAGCTACGCACAGCAGCCTCGTGCTCTTTCTGAGTGGTTTAAAACCCCGGTTC